GATTCTGCAATCTGTATACAGGGTAAAAATGGGAGTTCATAACCCACTTGAATCAAAGTGTGAAATATGATATATCAAGAACTATGTAATGTTTTGAACAACCAATAAAAAAAAGAAAAAAAAAAAAAAGACTATTGGGCCAGCATGATGGTACACGCCAACAATTGCAGCAACTTGGGAGGCTGAGGCAGTAGGATTGAAAGTTTGAGGCCAGCCTCAGCAACTCAGAAAGACCTTCAGCAAACTGCCAAGACCCTGTCTCAAAAAATAAAAGAACTGAGGATGTGGCTCAGTGCTAAAGGGTCCCTGGGTTCCATTCCTAGTACTAACAACAAATAAACCAGATCTTGCTAGACATGGTGGCACACACTTATAATCCAAGTGACTCAGAGGCTGAGGCAGGAGGACTACATGTTCAGGGTTAGCCTGGACAATTTAGTGTGATACTATCTCAAAACAAAAAATTAAAAAAATAAAAATAAAAAAGGCTGGGGAGTTAAGCTGAGGATGTAGTTCAATGGTTGAGCACTTGTTTAGTATATGTGAGACCCTGGGAAAAAGGAACAAAATAAAACAAACAAACAAAAAAATTGTTGGGGATGTAGCTCAGTGGAAAACCTATTGATTCAATTCCTAGACACCCACATGAGCGCGCGCACACACACACACACAGAGATAATAATCTACTACTTGACAAAAAATACAATGGGAATATAAGCTAATATTAGGGAGGAGCTAAAATTGGGTAAGGAATATGCAGGAACACTGCACTATCATTACAACTTTTCTGCAACTTATCCAAAATTATTTTAAAATAAAAAATCTACTTAAAAGTCATGAGTACAGCAGAAGGTAATCAAGTCTTTTTCCCAGGTTACGAAATTTGAGTTTCAGTTAGACCCATATCATCTTGAGGAAAAGGCTCACCCAACTAATTCAGAATTCTCAAGGAAGAAGCCTAGAAATTCTTTTTAAATTTTTCTTGATATTCTCTTTTAATTTTCATGAGTTGATAGCAAGGAGATACACAAAATATTTTCCAGGGCTGGGGCTGTGGCTCAGTAGCAAAGTTCATGCCTAGCATGTGTAAGGCACTAGGTTCGATCCTCAGTACCACATAAAAAAATAAATTAAATAAAGGCATCTGTTTGTCTACAACTATAAAAAATAAAAAAATTTAAAAAAAGTTTTCCAAATGAAGCCACAAAGAAATATTTTTGTTTCACAAAGAAACATTTTTATCTGCAGATCTTCAGAAAAAAGATGAACACACATATATGCCAAAGACAAGATAGTATATTTACACAGATATTCAAAGCCAGACAATAACATTTCATATCTTGGGCATTAGAACTGAAAGTCCAGTCTGTGTTCAGAATGAAGACTGTGAGAGTACCCTAAAGAAAAGAACTCTACTAGGAATGGGACTCTGAGCTTCATTATCTAGGAGAATTAAATGAAGATGCAGTTACAAAGAAAGCATTTAAGAAAATACATTTTGAAGCACTGCCATAGCAACAGAGTTTCTAGCTTCCATGCATGAGTTACTGTTTCTTTCTGAACATAAAAATCCTGCAAGGCATACTTGTGGACCAAGAACACTGTTTTATATAGAGTTGAATTCCTAGAAAGACTCTAAAGAAAGCCTTCAGGCCCCTAGTAGGACTGTGGAAAGGAATACTGGAGAAAGGACTTCAACACTAAGTCAGCTAGGGGGTCTCTGAAATAGCTGTGAAGGGAGGGCTCACCACCCTTGCCTGTCCTTAAACACCAAGATCCCTATGTGGATCCCCTAACAAGTCTCTCTTCTCTGTGTCAATGTTTGTCCCTATTTAAAAGCTTGATGCCTAAAAAAAAAAAAAAAAAACTTGCCTCAATTCCCAATATCAAAACCAAAAACCTGCTCTTATCTGAAGTAGAGGTCTCTTCTTATAAATCAGAAAGCACATTAACTATGTCTTTGTATTCTGACAAAGTGCTATAAAGAGTTTGTCTGAGCCCCCAATAGCTTTCTGATATTATGGGGTTACCTTTTGCAAATTTCCACAATTACACTCAGCTTCCAAGAGCAAGAACTATACTGTCAGTCTCCTACAGGCTCTCCATAGCCTGTAGGTACTTATAGGTACTCAGACATGGACATGAATAAATGTCTTGGGTCCCTCTAAATGGCACATAAGTTGGAACAGGGACTAGAACCAAGGCTCCCAGATTATCCTTAAGAGTGACTCAGTAAACAGGAGACGAGCAAAAGTCATAAAGCTTTGGAATTAGGCCTACTTTTCAGAAGGAGATAGGCTTAGGATAGTGCTTAAGATACTGGCACTCGGGGAGGTGGCTCAAGCGGTAGCGCGCTCGCCTGGCATGCATGCAGCCCGGGTTCGATCCTCAGCACCATATACAAAGAAAGATGTTGTGTCCGCTGAAAACCAAAATAAATAAATAAATAAAGATACTGGCACTCAGGTGCTGGGTTTGTGGCTCAGTGGTAGAGCGCTTGCCTAGCATACCTGAGGCTCTGGGTTCAATCCTCAGCACCACATTAAAAATAAAATAAAGATATTGTGTCTACTTCAAATTAAAACTAAATAAATAAGTAAATAATAATAATTAAAAAAAAGATACTGGCACTTGGACTGGGGTTGTGGCTCAGCAGTAGAACGCTTGCCTAGCACGTGTGAGGCCCTGGGTTCTAACCTCAGCACCGCATATAAATAAATAAATAAAATAAAGGTATTGTGTCCAACTACAACTAAAAAATAAATATTAAAAAAAAAATAAAGATACTGGCACTTGGCTGATATTACAGACCTTCACCTGATAGGTTTTGTTCCAGATCTGGCAGGTCCTCAGGGGCACAAGAGTCAGCTACCAGGGAAGGGGAGTTGTCAGAAGACTGGCTCCCATGCTGTTCTAGCACTGCTTCCAGTTGAGCCATTTCCTGCTGGAGCTTTATCAGGTTATCTTGCATGGTATCCCTCTGCTGCAAAAACAAGAAAGGACACCAAGAAAATTATACATTTTGAAAAACTTGCCATAAAACAAAAATATGTCACACCAATTAACTTTAACATGGGAAGTGAAATCACCTAGTATGGAATTATAAGTTCGGGCTGAACACCTTTTATTTCAACCATATTTATGCAAATTAATGTCCTTGAAATTATTTCAAAATGATGTTAGAAGGGGAAAAAAAAACCCTCCAATTCTCACAAATAGACTTGCTTTATTGTGATGTCTTTTTGTAGCTGATTAGCACTGGGGGGTACAGCTCAATAGTAGAACATTTGTCTAGCCATGTGTGAGGCCTTGGATATAATCCCTAGCACCACAAAAAGCAAAAATATAAAATAAAATAAAGGTAGGAAGTGAAAAAATAATTTAGGTACTTAAGCACTATTGATATTTAAAATTAGCACAAATCTGATAACATTTCACACTGCTGCTTCTAAGTTTTGGTATTGTGAAATTCATAAGACTTTAAAATTAGTCCCCACAAAAATCTTGATTTTTTAAAAAACTGATATAATGTTGAATATTTCTTATGGTATTTTACAAAATACTATCAATAATCCTGCCTACATTATTAGCTTATGAGACTTTTCCTTTTCTGGGATTCTTTTGACTTTTTAGTTTCTAATGAAAAGGTAAATTCTTTAATTTAGCTATTTGTTCAGTTCATTCAACAACTACTGAGCCAAGCCCTGTCCTAATTTTGGGGATGTGGCCCTCAGGATTCTAAATTGGTACAGGATACCTGCAGTACATTTTAGAATGTGCTGTTAGAAAAAAGCATCTAATAAAAAGAGCCCTAAGAAAGCCTAAAGGACAATTAACTGTTTTCAATTCAAGATAATGGATTCTCTTTGCTTATGAAGCTCCTGTTGTTTATTGCTCCATTTCAAGAAGCAATCTGTGAAGTCTAAGGTATTTGATAAGCAAAGAATTTAGGTACATAAGGAGTTTTCCAAAATATACACTTCTTCATCACTTTTCGAAAGAACATTGATGGTTGTTGGCAAGCTGGGAGAGTGTAAACACAGACTGTTCCACCCTCTGTTTCTTTCCTCTTCTTCTGATCCTTGAAAATTAGTTTGCCCTCTACTAAAAACAAGCCATCTTCTTTTTCCTGCTACACTGAGTTCATAGTTTTCAGGAGGTTTTTATGATAGAAAATGCATTTCCAGTTTCACAAAGGTTTCTACTGCTGTCTCGAGACTGCTTTGTTGCCAACATCTGCAGCAACGCCATTGCCACCACGTGGTACTCCTGAGTACTTACATCACTGATCAAACCGGAGCCAAGGCCCTGCCTCAGTAAACCCAGAAAAAAACTGTACACAGATGCCTGACCAATGCTTCAGAAACTAATTAGTGAGCAGGGCTACAACCACCACATCTATCCTTTATGTGGCCATTAAATCAGAAAAAAAAAAAAAAAAAACAGTAATGGGAAAATTAGAGTTAAATAACTTTCCTTTAGATTTTCTCAAACAAATTACTTATAACTTGGACAAATTCCCTTATAGGCAATTGGCTCAATACTTAGGGAGAACAAAACCAAACAGGTTACCAAGTCTTCTTGCTTCTAATTTTGAAATATCATCTTCTTCTTTTTTTAATATTTTTTTGTTGTTATGTATTTATTTATATGTAGTGCTGAGAATTGAACCCAGTGCCTCACACATGCCAGGCAAGCGCACTACCGCTGAGCCCCAGCCCCAGCCCCAGCCCTGAAATATCTTCTTAAAGAGCTTCTTTTATCCCTATTCTATCCTACTTTTAATACAGCTACATTACTGCAGAAGTTCCCTGAAAGCTATGTACATCATGCCTGTTTCTTCTATGAGGACCTTTTAGTGGTATATATACCACTGCTCAGATGATTAGTTAATACTTTCTGAACACTATATAATTGTTAGTCATTACTGCCCTCAGGGTAAAGTCCAAATTCCTAAGCACTGCATTCAAAAGGCCCTTCACACCCTGATTTTCTCTTCTTTCTCTCCAACATCTCCCATATGCCCATTTCTCAGTGACACAGGACAATTTTGTGTTTCCTGGGCATTTCATGCCTCTTGAACCTTTGCCTCAATTGCTGCCTCCTCTTTTTTTCCACTTGGAAAAATTCTTTTTTTCTTTTTTAAAATTTTTTATAGTGTAGATGGACAGAATGCCTTTATTTTATTATTATTTTTTTAATGTGGGGACAGAATGCCTTTATTTTATTTATTTTTTTAATGTGGTGCTGAGGATGGAACCCAGTGCCTCATACATGCTAGGCAAGCGCTTTGCCACTGAGCTACAGCTCCAGCCCTGGAAAAATTCTTCTTATCCTTCAAGGGCCAGCTCAAATGTCTCTCTTAGAAGTCCCCACCAATAATCTATCCATCATGAACAGAGGATCCCCTCATTATGTGGACTATACTACTAATATTAGTATTTACAAGTGGAACATATGACCTCCTTGATGGAAAGAACTGCCCCTTGAACAGATACTATTGATACCAAATTAGACATTCTTTTTTAAAAAATATTTATTTTTCAGTTGGACACAATATCTTTATTTTTACTTATTTATTTCTATATAGTGCTGAGGATCAAACCCAGGGCCTCACACGTGCTAGGCAAGCACTATACCACTGAGCCACAACCCCAGCCCTAGACATTCTTTATCTTCTACATAATTCTTGGGCTCTGTATAAACCGGGGATTTTTTTTTTTTTTGTGGTACTGGGGATTGAATCCAGGGACATTCTATCACCGAGCTACATCCCAGCCCTTTTTATTTTTTGAGACAGGGTCTTGCTAGGCTGCCCAGGCTGGCCTCAAACTGGTGATCCTCCTGCTTCAGCCTCTGAGTAGCTGGGGTTAAAGGCACATGCCACCATACCTGGCCTACTTCAATCATTCTACCTGTCTGAGTAGATGTATGATAAGAAGAACTTTGTAAAATATATCCAGAACAAATAAACCTATCCCTGGGAATAATATCAAGGATATAAAAAAGCAAAGGAGTAGTTTATTTGAATGTCAGTTATAACACAAAATGGCTAAGGTAGATGGAATAAAAAAATGGAACCTAAAACTTTAAAACACAAGAGAAACAATTAGTTGACAGGCATTACTGACAGAGCTCCAAATCCATATTCAGAAATAATCTGAGGAATTACAAACAAATAAAAGGTCACCTAAGTATTTTCATCAATTTAGTCACCATAACAATCCTGTAGAACTGAATACTGGTGACAATTCAGGTATCAAACATGTAGTCATCCCAAAGGTTTCTTCCCTGATTCCAAGGGGCTTCAGGTCTAGGGATTTACTCTTAACAGAGAATAGGCAGTAGGAGACATGTCCTTTCTATCTCTGCTCCTCACAACAATGCCAAGATTTGGAAGATTTTAAAATTGGATGCTACCCAGTGTGGGCAAAAGCACAGGGAAACAGGAACCATCAAATACTAGAGTTTGACCCAAGAGTGCTTAACCACTGAGCCACATCCCTATATACCATATACCCTTTTTAATTTGAGACAAGGTCTCACTAAGTTGCTTACAGCCTCACTAAATTGCTGAGGCTGGCTTTGAACTTGTGATCCTTCTGCCTCAGTCTCCCGAGCCACTGGGATTACAAGCATATGCCATCTGTCTGGTTTGGTTTAATCCTTCTAAAGGTCAATTTAACAATATGTATCAAAAATAAAAAAAAAATTTCAGTTTCAGGAATTTATACAAAGGAAATCATCAGAGATGTGGACAAATATTTAGCTATCAAGATGTCTACCATAGTATTATATATAACAGCAAACTGTGACTGTTACCCTGAAATCTTCAACATTTAACAATAGGTTGAATAAATCATAATACACCCAACAGAATAAAATGCTATATAATAATTAAAACTAAAGGCACTGAAGAATTTTAATGACATGATAAAAATTAAATTACAATGTAAGTATGTAGAGTATTATTTATTTATTTATTTATTCTGTAGCGGACACCATCTTTAKTTTATTTATTTATTTTTTATGTGGTGGTAAGAATTGAACCCAGAGCCTCATACATGCTAGGCAAGTGCTTTGCCACTGAGCCACAATCCTAGCCCTATCTAAATGATTTTTTAAAAAGATAAGGTGTAGGGGAGCTGGGGGCATAGCTCAGTTGTAATGAGTGTGTTTAGCATACACAAGGACTGGGTTCAATCTCCAACACCAAGAAATAAATAAATAATGATAAAGTATACATAAACACCCTATACACAAAGAAAGAAGACTCAGTGGCTATAGACCAATGAGTTACTATAACCATCTCTGGATAGCTTATAAAATTTATCTAATTTACCATCTTTTTTTTTAAGTTGTAGATGGACACAATACCTTTCTTTATTTATTTTTATGCAGTGCTGAGGATCAAACCCAGTGCCTCACTAGGCAAGCACTTTACCACTGAGCCACAACCCCAGCTCCTAATTCATCATCTTCACCATTTTGAACAGTACAGTTCAGTGACATTAAGTATTTTCTCAATGTCGTGTAACCATCACCACTATCTCTAAAATTTTATCATCATCATCATCCTCCCTAAATGAGACAGATACCCATTAAACAAGGAACTCTCTACTCCCTCCTCCCCCAAATCTCTGATAACCATTATTCTATCTTCTGTTTCTATAAATTTGATTATTCTAAGTACCTTATATAAGGAGAAATTATGCAATATTTGTCCTTTGGAATATAACATTTTATTTAATGTTTTCAAGGTTCATCCATGGATGATTCTTGTTTATCTGTTGTAGTCCCCTAATTTTTTTTTCTTTTTCAAATTTTTTTTAGTTGTTATAGACCTTTATTTATGCCAAGTGTGGGTGGCTCACGCCTGTAATCCCAGCAACTTAGAAGGATGAGGCAGGAGGATCACAAGTTCAAGGCCAATCTCAGCAACTTCCTAAGACCCTATTTTAAAATAAAAAATAGAAAGGCTGCAGATATAGCTCAGGGATAGAGAGCCCCTGGGTTCAACCCCCAGTACCACATATACACTCAAAAAAAGTAACCAAATTATTGGCCTTATCTACTGGGTTCCAAATTATGCCCTTTTGTTGTTGTTGTTAAAGATGATTTACAGGCACTACAGAAAACTCAACTAATAGATTTCACATAAAAGACATAAACAGAAAAAAAAATAGGCACAAAACAGTGAAATACTAGATGGTCTCTAATGGGAAGAGAGCCCTACAGGCTCCAATTAAGCACCAAGATTAATCACCTCTCTCTCTGGATACCAAAGTGCTTTTATATGTTTTGTAACAGGGCATATGGTTTTCAAGGTTCAGCTTATTTATTAAATTTAGTACTTAGTGTTCTTCAGAGAGCTAGATGGTGTACGTATGTATATGACATGAGTTCCACAGAGGTGTTTATAATCTGATTTGGGGAAGCAAGGCATCATACTTAATTGTTATGCCATTAATTCACAGGAAGATATCAGCAGACTTAAGAATGTGGATACATACCACTAAATGCAGGGGATACCACATACACATAAGTACCCATGCCTTTTTTTTTTTTTTTAAGAGAAAGAGAGAATTTTTTTTAATATTTATTTTTTAGTTTTTGGTGGACACAACATCTTTTTTTTATTTTTATGTGGTGCTGAGGATTGAACCCAGCACCGTGTGCATGCCAGGCAAGCGTGCTACTGCTTGAGCCATATCCCCAGCCCCATCCCATGCCTTTTTTACCTGAGTGGTTAAAATATCACTCTGCGAAGACACCCCTGAGCAATCTTCAGAGAGGACTGTTTCACTTTCATAGCCAGATGCTGCTTCACCTTAAACGATAATAAAAACAGAGGTTCAGATGTAGGAAGACTATAAAAATTGCATCTTGCTTTAACTGTTTCTTCCCATTGGCAGGACTGGTTTCATCTTCATGTTACACAAAATGATTAACCTCCTTGCTACCAGGATTTCCTCTTACAACTTTTTAACAATAAAAATTGGAAGCAAGTCCACCAACAAATAGGATATTTAAAAGCTCATTCAATCAGGGAAGATGTGATAGCTGGGTGAAGGACTTCTGACTTTAGGAAAAGAATCTTAGAAGAAACATGTTTCAAGTTTAAGTAACTGTACTTGGAAATTCATAAAATGTGCTCCCCAAAAGGCATAAACATTTAGCTCATTTTATAAAACAGGCAGAGGCAAACACAAAAATCTGGTTCTAATACCTAAGTCTGAATCCACACTCTGCTCTTCTTGGTGATTATCTTCTTCTAGGCCAGTTTCCCTTTCTTCATCATTTGAAACCAATTTGTTGTCACTCAGCACAACTTCCTGGTTTTCAGACTGATGTTTCATTTGTTTGGAAGGAGGATCAAACATCAAGAAGGGGTCCTGGGAGTTTGTATTTGTTGTCAAGTCTTCTAATACACTGCACTGGGAAGAAAACAAGCTACCAGAGTATTTCGCTTCCTCACTAAAGTCATGTTCCTGGGAGGCCTTTTCGAGTATCACCTCATTATTACAGTCATTTACACCAGTCCTAAATGATACCAGGTTCTCCTCTGTTTTCTTAGACAGACAGTCTGTCACAACAGTGCTGAATTTGGTAGACTGAGGTGTTTTGGTTACTTTACCAAATAGTAAGTGTTGGAAGGAGGGAAGTTCTTCATCCTCACTACAGGTGTTCTCTTCTGAGGACTCTAATTTCCTGGCCCCCTTTTGGTGACTCTGAGCCAAAGATGTATGGGCTAAAGGGCTTGGGCTCCTGCTAAATTCTCCCCTCTGGACATTCTTACTAAAAACAGCAGATTTTTCCTTAATGCCACCTTCAATAAAGCTGGTATTTTCCTTTATTTCATCATCATCATCATCTAACAGGTCATCTGGAGTCTCAGAACAAACCTGAGTGACAGGACTAATTCTCATAGGTTGTTCTAAATTATCTGAAATTAGACATGGAGAGAAATCTGTATTAACAACTTGAACTACTTCATCTTCTCCTTGTCTTTTTATTTCAGGGTATTTACAATTAATTAGAGAAAGATTTTGTTTATAGGCTTCAGGTTGCATAAGACTTAATCTAAGCACAGCATTTAATTTGGGTCCTCTGTTTCTACCTAGTTCTGTTTGAATGTTTTCACCACTGGAACCTACCTCATTAATACTGGAGCCTACTTCATTAGTACTAGCGCCTACTTCATTAATACTGCCTGAGTTGGCTTCTTTAAAAGCACTTTCTCTAATGTTATTTTGGCTAATTTTGCTCACTGTACTTTGAATGATTCTCTTATATCCCACTATTTTTTCAGGTGACCCTGAATGTTTCTCAAACTTTTCCCCTAATAGGGTACTTTCTGTAGATCTTTCAGTTTGCAAACCCCTTTCTCCACTTAGCACATCTTTGGGGTCTTTGGTATTATTAGACCTTTGAATTATTTCTATTTTCTTACATTTAGTGTTAACAGATGACCTGATGGGAGAAACTGATGGCATATGATATGGGTTTTGTAAAATTCCATGTTTATATGCAGTAATAAGTTTAGTTTCACTGCCTCTGAACGGAAATGAAGGACAAATTCTAGAGACTTCTGTAATATTACATTTGGCATCATCACCTGGCTTATTTTTCTGACAAACCACAGGGAAGCCCATAGTGGCATTAATTGCCTGGACATGCGGAATTTTAGACTCTTTATTTCCCCAATTTTTGTCTTTTTGCTCACATTCAAGATTGACTTCTGTGCTTTGTTTCTGTAAGGTTTGGGAGGGAACATAGACAGCTGCACATTCCTTTTCTTGATTTCCTGGATTTGAAAACAGAGCAAATGACTGACGCTTTGAAACTTGGAATGTATTCTCTAAATACTGAGTATCAAGTTCACTTTCTTCCATTTCTACATTTATCTCCTGAATGTGGTTAACATCGTGTCTCAATGAATTCTTGAAACCCCCTGTGTCGTTTCTAGTATCTTTAGGATGATCATGGATAAATTCCTTGGGGTTTTCGATTGCCACATACTGAGTAACATGTTGATTTGATGCTGTTCTTGCTTTTCCAAAAGTGTTAGCTTCCAGTAATGAGATACTGTCCTGAGTGCCATAATCAGTATCAGGTACCAATGAAATACTGGTACTTTCTGCAGATCTTTCAGTTTGCAAACCCCTTTCTCCACTTAGCACATCTTTGGGGTCTTTGGTATTATTAGACCTTTGAATTATTTCTATGTTCTCTTCTGTTCCTTCTTTCTGAAGGTTAGGATCAACAAATTCTTTAACTTTACTAGAACTTGAGCAGTTAGTAAAAAGACCAGATATGCCTGTTAACTTTGGTCCTGGGAAAACATCATTGGTATATCTTTTAATTATTTGTTCATTTGGCTGGTTACTCTTCTTGACTTCAGTTGCAGGTTCTGTATCTTCCATGAGTTGAAGCTTTTTGCCATGCCCGACTGGCATTTGGTTGGAATTTCCTGTCTTTATTTCTTCACTGCTAGTAAAACTATCAATTTGTAATTCAATGTGATGAGGTGGACTTGTATTTCTATTTACTGCTAGTTTAAGCGCATGAATATGCTTAGTAGAGGACTTCCTCCTCAGCCTATTTTTCGTAGGTGCTTTTGAATTGTGGATATTTAATTCTAGTTCCATATTGCTTATACTGCTGCTTATAGGTTCAGCTTTAGTTCTGAAAGCAGACTCTTTTTCCAATGATTCTATTGGGTTAGCATTTTTCTCTTTCTGAACATAATCAACTTTTGTTTCATTCTCTTGGCCACTATTAGTAATATTCATTACTTGATCATTCTGTTCCATTTGGTCAGTTCCCTGATTTATTTTTTCAGGAGTCTTTTGAACAACTGCCAAATCTGCTTTCTTGATAAAATCCTCAGGATGAAGGCATGATGTAGTTCTCCTTTTACGCTTTAATTTATTTGTGAGGGGACACTCTTGTGTTATTTGTGGTTCTGCGGCAAATGCTCCTATAATTAGATTTTCAGTTACATGGCTCAAGTTAGGGAGGCTCGCCTTCCTCCGATAGGTTTTCCCAAATATTTTATCTTCAATATTACTCTCAACTGCTTTGGAGCAGATTCTTTCACGTTTAAAAATTAAAGCATTATGTGGGTCAGTGGCCAACAAGTCTATTTTCTCTGAAGAACCAGAAAATCCATCTACTTCATTTGGAATTTCTAATACACCAGCTACTTTAGCATTTGACTCAGAACCCCCATCATATGAGTCGTCAGAAGTTAACATTTCGTCACTTCTGGAAAACCACTCATTAACTTTCCGAATGCTGCTATTTCGTGTTATCCAAGGAACATCTTGAGTATCTCTAGAATTCTCAGAGCATGGAGGTTTCTGCTTACTTGGTTCTTTTTTCTCATATAGGGGATCAACATTCAGATCTACCTTTTTCTCTGTGCTGAGAGTTTGCCTATCGTTACAGGTTTCCTTACTTTTAGCCCATCTGCTCTGTTGGCTCCTTGCTAAGCCAGGCTGTTTGCTTTTATTACAGAATTCAGCCTTTTCTACATTCATTCTGTCTTTAGTGAGTAATAAACTGCTGTTCTCATGCTGTAATGAGCTGGCACGAGTATTTGTGCCACATGGCTCCACATGCAAGTTTGAAACAGAAATACCCTGATACTTTTCTGGATGCCTCTCAGTTGCATGCTTCTCAATGATGTTCAAATCTTTATTACTGGATTGATGATGTTCAATATTTGCTATGTCCTTCTCAGAAAACTCACAAGCAGCTGAAAATACATAAAAATAACAAGATTCTTAAAAACTGAATTATCATAAATAAATACATAATTAATACAACTTGGGAGTGGAAATCAAGAAACTAGTTTAGAGAAACTAATATCATAAACTACCAAATATACTGAAGATGTAACTCATGCTCTTTCAAATAATTTCTATTTGCCTAAATTCTCATTATTCCCCTCAAGCCAATCAAAAAGTCAATTTCAGAATGTTCCCTATGCATAAACCACATCTCCTATCCCCCAACTTCTAACAGTGAATTAAATGCAGTCTGTTTGGTCATCAGACACACAGTATTCTATTCTATCTACACACTCATATTCCATACACTTAGAAAGAAGTTGGAAAAAACTGAAATACAAATATGTCAATTAAAAGTAAAAGGCAGGGCTGGGGTTGTGGCTCAGTGGTAGAGTCCTCGCCTAGCATGCATGATGCCTGGGTTCTCTATCTACAGTTCTCTATCTTCAGTGTCTAGTAAGTTGGGAAGACTTGCCATTACCCTTATTTGCAGAATCCACACTGGTTTCAGCCCTGGCTCCTTGAGTGGTGGTTTGCAACAATTCCTGGTCTCTTACACTATAAGGAAAACACAGAAGCCTTAATTAGAATCATTAGTTATATGTTCATAGAACTGTCAAATGACCAAGATCAAATATTTTAACTCCTCTAGGTAGGGCTGTAGTTGCTGCCCAATTTGACTCATTTTGTGATTCCTGGTCTTTCCTTTAAGTAACCTCTAATCAAAATGAAATGGTTAGACTGAGAATATCCAGTCACAAAATTCTGTCTGCAAGACAGAACATTGCTTTATAAAGATGCAAACGAGAGTCACAATTTACATGACTGCTAAAAGATAGTTTTTAAAAAATGCTTAGATGGGCATGGTGGCCCACACCTGTAAGCCCAGAGGCTCAGGAGGCTGAGGCAGGAGGATCACAAGTTCAAAGCCAGCCTCAGCAATGCAGTGAAGCCCTAAGCAATGTAGTGAGACTCCACCTTATGTAGCTCAGTAGTAAAGTGGTTAAGGACTGCTGGGTTCAATCCTTAGTAACCATTTCTCCACCCCCACCCCCACCACACACACACACACAAAAAAAAAAAAAAAAAGAAAGAAAAGAAAGAAAAAAAGTAGAAAGGATTGATTGGGTTACAGCTCAGTGGTTAAGCACCTCTGGGTT